CTTTTTCAGCGAAGAAGAATATATTATTTGTTTGATTTATATTATATCTGTTTGATTTATTGAATACAAAAACCTTTGTTTTCTCTGTATTAACAGCCAGGCGGCATTTTGACGTATATATTTTTAAGTTGTCTAAACAGTTGTGTAGCCCCCTAGCAGATTTAGGTAAAATGACAACATCATCTGCATATAGGAGACAACTTACTTTTAAATTATCAAGAACGGGGGAGTCACAGTTTTCAGAGTTGAAACAGTTAGGTAGATCATTTAAGAAAATGTTAAAAAGAGTAGAGCTAAGATTGCACCCTTGTCTGACTCCAACTGTTGATTTAAAACTCTCAGTTTTCGTACATGTTTTTTATTATATCAAACATTTTACCTGATATGCCATTTTTATGAAGTTTGAAATAGAGACCATTATGCCACACACTGTCAATGCCTTTCTAAAATCTATGAAGCAAGCATAGATTTTGTTAGACTTGGAGGTTGTGATATCTTTTGAATGACTATTATTATAGAGATATTTTTGTACAATTGTTTTTAATATAAAGAGATTGTCTGTGGTCCTGCAGTTTTTTCCTAATACTGAACTGATGCTTTGAAATAATATTTTTTTGTCCAAGTATGCTGTTCAGGATACTGGTAAACAGTTTTCCTAAGCAGCTAGAAACTGCAATCCCTCTGTAGTTATTAGGAATTGTCTTGGACCCTGACTTGTGAATAGGAACGACTAAGCTCGTGTTCCAACTGGCTGGAAAAATACCTGAATTATATATATGACTAAACAATTTTTGAAACACTTCAAGAATGTAGAATTCTCCATATTTAAACATTTCATTACAGAGCTCGTCCTTCCCTGATGTTTTATTTAGTTTAAGTTGATTAAATTGCTTTTTTGATTTCAGGTATAGTGATTTGGCCATTCAAATCATTTTTGCTGTTTGTTTTGTTTTCAGTAGTCCAATCAGTTTGACTAAATTTCATTTAAATTGTTTTTATTAGGGCAATTTGTTTCTAAATCAGTTGATAGGCTGTTATTGTTTAAAAGCTTTTTAAAGTAAGACAGCCGTTCATTGGGCTCAATTGAATTGTTATTGTTATCTAAACAATCTGAGTTTAAGTCTCGTAACAGCTTCCAAAAGTTTGATGGTTCACCTTCAGAATCACTTAGCTTTTATAACTGGTGCTGTTTTAAGTCATATTTTTTCCTTTTAGTTAATTTTTTATGACAAAGTATTTTCCCCTGGTGAACGGATCAAGAGGATATTGCTGAAACAACTTGATAGCAGTTTTAAGTTCATTCCGAATTCAAACCATAATTTAATTTCTCTTTTTTTCTTTTTTCTAATTTTGGGTGTTATTTTTTGACTCCCATGTGCAAAGCACATAATGGGAGTGTGTCTGTATGTGTGTGTGTGTATGTGTGTGTGTATGTGTGCCCGACTGTTCCACTGCTATCTCAAAAACCATACATCGGTTTTTGATGAAACTTGGTGCATAGATGTTCTGGGCCAATGCGCAGATTTGACTAGTTTTTGGTAAAAATCTGTGCATATTAATTACCTAATTTGCATGATAATTAGCTATTTTTTAGTGGTTCCATGACTGTTCCACTGATATCTAAACAACCACTCATTGGATTTTGATGAAACTTGGTACATAGATGCTCTGAACTAATACTAGGTTTTGATTAGTTTTTGGTAATAATCTGTGGATACTAATTACCTAATTTGCATAATGATTAGTCAATTTTTGGTTTTTCACTGATATCTCAAGTACTAATCATTACATTTCAATGAAACTTGGTACATAGATGTCATATGACACTGCATAGACCTGATAGTTTTTATGGTAATATCAGTACATATAATTACCTAATTTGCATAATTGATTAAATTTCAGCTTTTAATATAAGTAGTGAGCATTACATTTCAATGAACCATGGTACTTACATACTCAAGGACTATGCAGAGATTGATTGTTTCGGATAAATATTTGTGCATATTAATATTCAGCTTTTCCATGGGTATCTCAAGTACTAATCATCGCATTTCAATGAAACTTGGTACATAGATCCTTTAGGACTATGCAGAGACCTGATTAGTTGTAGGCTAAATAATTGTGCATATTAATTACCTAATTTGCATAATTAATTTTCAGCCTTTCTACTGATATCTAAAGTACTAATCATCACATTTCAATGAATCTAGAATTATGCAGAGACCAAATTAGTTTTTGGTAAATATTTGTGCACATTAATCACCTAATTTGCATAATTAACCAATTTCCAACTTTCACACTGATATCTCAGGTAATGAATGTTTGCACATGGATGCTGTAGGACAATAGACAGACCTCGATAATTTTGGGTTGAAATCTGTACATATTAATTACCTAATTTGCATAATTAACCAATTTTAAGGTTTCACACTGATATCTAAAGTACTAATTATTCCATTTCAATGAAACTTAGTACAAAGATGCTCGAGGACAATGTACAAACCTAATTAGTTTGGGGTAAAAATCTGTTCATATTAATTCCCTAATTAGCGTAATAATTCATAATTTTTTGGTTCTAATCACATTTCAATTAAACTTGGTTCATAGATTTTCTGTTACATTGCGCAGACCTCATTAGTTTTACACTAAAATCTGTTCATATTAATTTTCTGATTTGCATAATTAGTTTTCAGCTAAGTAATTCCGAATTATATTTAATGTGTTACAATACTCTCAGCACATGGGAGTTCTTTCTAAACTTTCTTTGATTTTACAGTTTTGTCTGCGACTGCAAAGCACTAAATTCTGTAACAACAACATCACAATTGTTTGAATCAATTTTGTTTATAATGTTGCTAATTTCATTTTCTTTAGCAATTTCAAGAAGTTCCCTGAAATTTAGTTTTGCTTCATTGTCCCAATTGTATTTGGCTGGTAGTGGTTTCATGTTCATTTTGACTTTGCGTTTTTCTTATGTTAATATTGTTTACATCAATTTTAAAAGACAGAGACAGTGATATGGGACAGTGGTCTGAGATGCAGGTTAGGTCATGCACTTTGAAATACTGAACATTTTCACACAAAAAAGTAGATGTGATTGCATAATCAACGGTACTGCACCCATTTGCTGTGTAGCAGGTGTATTTACCAGATGAATCACCAATGGTGCACCCATTGAGAATAATCAAGTTACTGTCCATGCAAAGCTCAATTAATTTTCTACCAAATTTGTTAGTGTTAGTTTTTGCTTTGTTATCCATGCTA